AGCATCACACAATGCCAGTGGTAGACTGACTTGGTCCCGTCCAGTTTCGCTCGGTTCAGCTGCTGCCTTGTGACTCGTTTTTTGCCGAAGCTCACTCACTAGGCTCTTGCAATTTTGATGCCAGACTATCAGGAGTGCCATACAATTGGATGCCAGACTATTGGAGTTTTACCGTATATGCTAGATAATCCAGGCAAACATTTTGTAATAATGCAGTCAACAATTATTTTTTAAAAAAATTTTAAATTGTGAATGGTAGACTGCAATTTATTCTGAACATGTTCACTATTTAAAATTATTTAATGTATGACACTTTCAGCTTCTGGATTGCTTATAAACTGTGGGCAAGTAGCTAGTCACTCCTATGTAGCCTATCTATTTATAGGGTCCCTATCACTGTAGTAAAATGGGCATATTCAATATTGAAATAGTTAAAATTCAGTATCTGAGATGTTTGAATGGCTAGCTGCTATGGGTAATGTGGCATTGTTTACTGGCTGCATGTACTACCATTTAGAGATGTCTTAAATTACAAGCAAATTTCATGTAGACATGAAACACACTTCATTTTGCGATGGTATGAATGCTCCTGGTGAACTAATTTTGGATTTATAGTCGAGATTCATTTAATATAAAATTTGGCCACCATTTCTTTTTTTGTGGGGAAGACGAAACTTTTATATAAACAAAAGAAAGGTGGAACAGGTCACTTTGGTTCAGTATTTCCAATAAATTAATATTAACAAGATTTCTGTTTTTGCATACCTTTAATTACGCTATCTTCATTTTGCCATACATTTTTAGCTACATGAGAACATCCCTTGTTCCTCCTTCCTGCCTATCAATTACAAACCACCTTAAATATGTTCTTATAAACATTGTGTACTAACAGACTGATGTGTGCTGCATATCAAGCAGAGATAACTGTTTCACTTTGCTGTGTTACTACCAAGTAGTTATTAAAAAAAATTAGTGCAACTGCCAGAGCTACATATATTGCTAACTTATGAAGAGAGGGACACTGTCTTACTCTAACCCTTACAGACATATGCAGTACTAAATAATGACTATAAATACATTCAGAAGCCTGCTTGTGGTATGGAAGGTGTGTCTGTGTGTGGTGCAGAACAGTTCCTGTTCCAGTACAGTCTATGCTGCAACATGCTCAGCCACTGGCAGGGTAGAAACATATCTCCCCCAGGCTTCTAATAATAGCAACAACCAGAAGGCTGCAAAAGACCACGTGTGAGAGTGCAAACGTCAGGGACGGATGAATGAACTGTTCCCATTCACTCCTCCTCTCTCCCCGTTTTTGTCCTGGGGAAAGTTCTTCCTTAGTGATTCTTGGCCAGTGTACCAATCATTATATTGTAATAAATCTTGGGTACTACACAGCTGTCACCACGCTCCACACAAAGGCTACTCTGAACTTTATGGCAGCTGTGAGGACTATAACTCAGAACCTCAAACTTCAAAAACATAGGTTCCTACTGGCTGTTCTAAGGAAAAGATAGGGACTATGACATATAGTGGAGCAGTTCTGATTCCATTCAGCAGAGGGCTGTAATACAAATGCACATGGACAGCTCATTACTATACTGTGGCACCTCTGAATATCTTGAAATCCATTGTTTAGTTTCTGAATAGCATGTGTCTCTGTCCCCATCTTCCCGTCTCTCCCCCCCACCCTCCCGCCCCCGGCCCAGCTCTTACAAGTTTTATCTTTGCACAATTCAGTCCCCGACACCTATGCCATGCCTATTTCCCAGTAAATCTGGGGCCTCCCTATACCTCAGTATTATTTCCTTTCTTGGATTAATTTAACTTCCACACTTCTGCTTTCTAAGCATCTACTGTAATTGGTTGAGGAAACAAACTCTTTTTATACGTGGTAATAGAGGCTAAGAAATTTTAGTTTGGGTCACTTTGAAAGTAGATTGGGCTTTGCTCCCTGGCCTGGATGGGAGAGGGAGAGCGGGACACACACACTGTACTGTGTGTGCAGTCTTTTACATACATGCACTCAGACATGACAGATGTTCATCTTCAGAACTGAAGACACTAGCTGCGTTCTTCCTTGTGTCTGTATGTGCCCTCTCACAGCTTCAGAAAACCCATTTTTCCAGATGAAGGAATGTTTTAGTTTGTGGAAGTCTCCATTCAAAGTTTAGTTCAGACCAGCGGGTTTCTCGCACTAGCTTTATTCTCTAAGTTATTCTTCAATTTGTAATCAGTCCAGGAGGAAGTGATAGCTGAACGCCCCTGTCAGTTTATTTGCAGAACTTTTAAAGAGACAAGATCCCAGCAGAGATACTTACAGCTCCAAAAGCGACTGCCTGTCTCATTAATTCCATTTTTCTTTATTTTGTGTTTTAATTTACTCTTTTTAGCATGAAGTCAGGATGAGAATATGCAAGTGGACAAGCAATCGAAGGTTGTCAGTGGCAGGCAACTAGCATGGGATCTAATTGCTGCTGGTGGATTATAACAGTTTTATAATCTAGTAATAAATCAGTGGGTGGTACCCAAAATTTTTAATTTTTACTATCATTAGAGTTCTGTGCTTAAGATCTCTCCCTATTAAGGTTCTCAGTAAAGCAAAACATGATACTTATTCATATTTTACTGATGAAATAAGCACAATTTAAAACAGTCATCGAGCTGCAAAACATAATTTTGTGAAATGGGCGAATTTTGGACTGGGCAGAAATTCCTCAAAATTGATTAAATTTTGCCCAGTGTGTGAAGTTCAGTCCTTTAACTATGAAATGTAGTGCATGCTATCATTAGAGCTGGCAAATTTTTTTTGGCTCTGGATTTAATTTGTAAATAAAGTACAGGTCTATTTAGGAAAAACATCTGAAGGGCAAGTGAAAAGCCCTCCAGTCCAGAATGTGGTAAGATCCTATGTGTTTGTCAATTTGTTATGAAAATTGTGGGAAACATGGCAGAGTTTGTTAGTTGAGCATTTTGATTACATGACGCTGGTTAAACAGTTTTTATACACTGAAAAAAAAATCAGTTGTATGTGCATGGTTGAAGACCTAAAACTGTTTTTTTTTTTCTGGACTTTGTGTCACCGATTTTAGGATCGGGGTTAGATAGTTGGGATTTGCTACAATAAAATATGGATAGCTATAGAGATACAGTAGACCCTCAAAGATACGAACACCAGTTATGCATTTATTGGTTAACCCCACACAACTTGGAAACACAAGTAAATCAATTGGGCATCAACAGACAACAGCTTCAAAAAAGCTCTCTCAAAAAACAGCAAGTACTCTATTGTGAGGCCGAAGCCGAGAATGAAGCTTGGGGGCTGACATCCCAAATCACAGTGCTCTCCCCAGCTTTAAAGCTCAGAGCCCTGGTGTTCTTGTGGAGCAAAAGCCCTGAGCCTCCTACTCCTCTGTCCCCTATGGCTGCAGCCCCAGTCCCCAGGGTCTGAAATCCATAACATCTTATTCGGAGTTATGGACCATTTCAGAGTTACAAACAACTTCCATTCCTAAGGTGTCGATAACTCTGATGTTTACTGGGGTTTGTATCAGGGATGCATCCACTTTCTACAGTTACCACACTTAGGCCTGTCTACATAGTGTACTACTCTGCACTTGAAAAATTTACATTCTAGCACACACTAGAGTGTATGCTAACTGGTCCCCATGGACTCTGCTAGTATGCACTAAAAATTCCCTTTGTGCACGTTAATGTAGCACTGTTTGAACTTCCTTGGTCTGGCATCTGCGGTCCAGCTAAAATGTTTCCCATGCTCATAACAGGAAACCAGCCCAAATATCACTGCTTGTGCCTCAGTTTCCTCATCTGTGAAATGGGGAAAGGGGGGAATAAATACATATTTATTTATAAAAACAAACAAAAATTACTCTGTCTTTGAAAAGCAACATGAGATGTATGCATGAAAAGCAGTATGAAAATGCTAATATTGTTAACTCATGCGTATTGTAGAGCTAAATCCATCGTTGGTGTAACTCCACTGACTTGAATGAAATTACACCAGTGATTAATTCAGTCCTGTTCGTTATAATTTTTACAATTTTTTGTGCTGTAAATCTGCATGGTACTTTGCAGAAATATAAAAAGACACAGTCCTGGCCTTAACGAGTTTTGTACAGGGATTTAAAAAACTTCCCTCCCAAAAACTCTTCATCTCCTAAGATGTTAATTAACCCATTTCAGTCGTCTAGATATTAAACACTTTTTAATCCACACACTATAGGTTCCAGGACTTTTATATGAATTTAATAGATTTCACCCTTCACTTACAAAAAGTGATTTTCCTCCCCCAGTGGGCAGTTTTGGATTTCTTCCATTTATAATATACCGCAATTGGTGAACGATTTATGTATTTAAACAATCTTGGAAAATAAAACAAGCTCTCCATTAGAGCTCAATCTATTATTTTAGAATGATCCATTGGATTATCTATAATTTATTTCTTAATAGATTTTTTTCATCAGTTATTGTATATAGTCTCTAACCTCCCCCCCCCCCTTAACACCTTTCCCCAGTTCCTTGCTTTTTTTTATGTTTCTGGGAGGTTTATGTTAAAATCTTGAGTGCTCTCCCTTGTGTGAAGTGTGTTATTGAGATTATTTCTGTGAAAATTCTATATCTACAATAATTTCTAGTCTCTGATGACAGTGAGCCAACCCTCCCCCTCCCCCGTGCAATCCTTTAACTGTTGATTAGAAATGTAAAAACAAAAAACCGTGCAAAAGTGTAACAGGCTGTACAAACCACTGTAGATAAACACGGTAAACACTCTGGATTGACAGATCTTTACTGAAAGAAATAGTCTCCTAGAAGTGACTCACCGGGCTCCAAATGCTTGTTATTGTTGTGGCCTTTGTTTATGTATTTTGTAGTCATCACATTTCTGATTATTACACAAATGTGGTCTTCTGAGAGGGTGATTGGCTCAGGCAGCAGTTAAACCACCTATATGCTAACAAGCCTTTGCTGCCAGGTTCCTAAGGGGTCCTGGCTGGGAAAAATTAAAACCAAACCTTAGACCTCTGTCAGACTGTGAAGAAAATTATATTTTTGAACTAGTCTACAGTGTGGACAGGAAATGACCCCTTCACAAACTGCTTCTTTAAAAACAAGCAGTGGTGCCTGAAGCTATCCAGTCTCTCTCTCTCGCTCTCTGGAGCTTGTTCTCTCTCTCTCCTCCCCCTTCTCTCTCTGCCTCCTGCTATAGAAGGGCTTCAACAGCAGTTTCCAGCCAGCGTGTTCCGTGTGTGTGTGTGTGTGTGTGTGTGCATGTGTGTGTGTGTGCGTCCGTCTGTGTGGATGTGTGTGTGTCTGTCTCTGCGTGCCTGCCTGCTGCTACTTTGTACTGTGAAGAACACACAGCCCATGTGCTCTGTATGGATGTTGATGATACTCTGTGTAGCTTGATTCTCTGCAAGCAGGCAAGATGTCCAGCACACCACATGACCCTTTCTATTCTTCTCCTTTTGGCCCATTTTATAGGAGACACTCACCATACATGGTGCAACCAGAGTACCGAATCTATGAAATGAACAAGAGGCTGCAGTCTCGTACAGAGGTAAGTCCCTCAGCCTTGTTTTACTGTGCATGGACTGTGTGGTAGGTTTCAGGCTGAATTCCGTCTAAAGCGTCCCATTAGACAGCACAATATATAAAGGAATGAACACCCTAATTAATTTAGTAGTTTACTTGGGTAATCTTCATTATATTTTCATGCAAAGCAACTCTGAGTATATACCAGTTTAGGCTGAAATCTTGAAATCACAGAACAGCACTTCAGGGTTGATGCCAATCCGAGGAATTTCTTTTTCTAGTGTGTTTGTTCAGGATCTGTCCTGTTGGCATTTACAGCTATAATATTGCAAGGTATTCCTTGATCAATTACACTAAACTAATGCTTCTCCTTTGCAGAGAAGTGAGCCACAATCCTGTATTTGTTTTTCAGACTCTTAACATTAAATATGAAAGACAGCAGCAAACAGAAGGGAAGAGTTTTAAAAAACTTATTCCGGAGCTGCCCTTAAAGAACACATGTGCCTAAAGAACAGATACTGAAATATGTGCATATCTTTAGAAAACAGTTGCTTTTAGCAAGACAAACGATCAGTTCATGACTTTTTCATGTACTTGTCCGAATACTTGAAATGTACTGTTTGTAATGCCTTGTGCAGTTTGTTACTCCTCTTGCACATATTGAATTGTACATGGAGATCAGTTCCTTTAAAGAATATACTAAATGAAAAGTAGTAGTAGAAGAAATGCTTGTAATACTTTTTGGTTTAAAAATCTAGTACTGCCCCTTGTAATGTAAATATTTAATGAAGCAACACTTTTGATCTATGGGAGTGAAAAGTATATGGACTGGGGTCAGGCTGCGTTTTTGCCCATGTGTCTGTGCAGCACACATGCTTCCTGCTGCAGTTTTTCCAAAGTAGTTTACTGTGGATGCTCTGAAAACACTTCAAGAAGTAGAAATCTTGGAGAATCAATATCCTTCTGTAGCATGAAGTGTCCAGTTGAATATGTGGTGAGTCTTTAAGGAAGGATTTTGGTGGCATTTAATATACATCTGTTTGCTGAACTATAATTCTTTAAGGGAACACGAGGTTATCATAAAATAAAACACACATGCCTGAATTGTCAGCTAAGCCATAGAGACTTCATGACGTTTAATGTATATGATGCAGCTAACAAGATGTGACCTGCTTTCTGATTGGTTAATTGTTAGAGAATGACTGATTTCCTAACCCTTCTATTTTCTAAACATATTATTGGTCTGTATATGATAAATACAATTGATAGTAGCTAAAAATGTAAAGAAGTTGTTGGTTTCCATAGTCATGTTAACTATTCTCAGTTTTGCCTCAGGTCATTAACAGTGACTGATACGGGTGTGGAAGGTGTGTTTTGTTTGGTTCTTGAAACTCTGTGATTTACATTCCTATACAAATTAATGTAACAATTGTAGTGTCCTACAAATAATCAGGAAAGAGAAAGTGTTATCAAATGATTATGTTGGCATTATTTTGTAGAAGTTATTTTGAAAAGCTGTATATGTGACTAGCAATTCAGCCTTTTTGCTTCAATGATATTTTCAGTATTTTAAATATGCCTTTTTTTCTGATTAGACTGAAGTTACAAATCTTCCACTCTGGAAAGGACTTGTAGAAAGACTTTTCCCTGTTGCCTTGCTGACAGGAGTAGAGCCATATTTAGGCTCTAGTCCTTTCATTACAGTTTTGCTCCACAAATGCTCTCTATGTTGGGCTACTCTGAGGAGGAAGGATAATTTACCCCCCCCCCCTTTTTTTTTTACTGTTACCCTTATGGGTTTCATTGAGTTATAACAGAATTTGGGATAGCGAAAAGTGTACCATTACAAATTTTTCTTTTCTCAGCGTAAAAACACTTTGGTCTTGCGATTGCTTGATATTAAAATTCTTCTTTTCTTTTCTTTCTGAGTTCCTGAAGTCTGGACTGTGGCAAGGCTACTTGTTGAGACAGATAAGATTCTCTAACTAGCTTTGGCACCATCACCTGTACTTGTATTAGAGCAGCTTCTTTAGTACAAAACTTAGTTCCTTGGACATTTTGACATTTATGGTGACTAGAGGTGGACATATGGTGATGAAGCATTCCCTAATGTTATCTAATTGCAGGTGAAAAGTGGAAGTTTCATATTCATTTTACACACTTATGACCCCATCTGTGATTTGTGGCTTTGGAGTTCTAAAGTTTTATTAGGACCAGCCTTGGATATCTTACATCCTGATCAGTGGAGGCTTGTAGGTATGGAAGGAATGTAGTTGCGCTTTGAGTGATATGGGCTCAGTAAATAAGCATTTTTCTTCAGGCAATCCTTGGAAGGATGTAGGTGATGGCCTCTGGTGGGAGGCTGCTTGCATACACTCAATCCCATGGGATAGGTAGCAGAACTAGAGCAGTTTAAAGGGAAAGTAGTTATAAAGAAAGTGTCCAAAAGGGAGGATGGGAGGTAGTGTTCTTGGACCCCTTTTGGACGTACTTTGGACAGGGACAATGGAAAGCAAAGGTGCCAGAAGGATGGAACCACCTCAGCCCAAAAAAGAAACCCAACAACTACACATTTCCAGTCTAGGAACTTTTTCATGGCTTGTTTCATGATGCACAACAATAGCTCTCTTAATAAATCCGGTAGAGTCCAAGTATAGCGTTTGTCTACAGCTGAGGAACATGTAAGATAATTTGTCAGGGAAGGGCGGGGGTCTCTTATGTGCTTCCCCTCACTCCAGATAAAGCAGAGTCCAGTTTCACAGTGGCTCCCTGAGCATTACTGCTCAGCTGGACTTGTAAGCATGTTTGGATGGGTCAAGAAAGAGTGGAGTGGTCAGCCATTGCCACATCCCTCTCTCCATCTCCCTGGGAGGCAGGGTCTACTACCTCTTCAGGGATGCAGATGTGTCCAAGAGTAGGATACAGCTGTTCTGTGGCTTAAGGACAGCCTTTTAATGCCATTTGCATCAAGTCTGATTGGTTTGGCATAGGGTGAGGATAAAGAATATCCTGTAACAGAGCATGTGTAGCCGTACCTCGACATGCTAAGCAAAATGCTGTTTCAACACAGCTTCCACGTTTCTGTTTTTCTTAAGGATGTTTTATTTAGGAACAAATTGTAGCCATGTGAGTGAAGAACCGAAACTCTGAAGTGTGCCAAGCCTACCATACTCCTCTGCCCTTCAACCCCCTCTCAGTGCTTTCAGTGCTCTGCTCCTATGATTGGCTTCTAAATCTTGGTCAGCCTTAAGCAAAGAATGATGGTCAAGCCCAGTCACATATTGGTTTTGTGAAGTAGGGAATTGTCCAGTGGCTAAAGATTGTCACTGCCAAGCTCCTTCTTATTTATGTGATTTTAGCAGTGCTTGAGCCCAGGTTATTAACCTTCAACAAGACTTCAGCCTTTTTAAAGGTTGTGCAGAAAAGTTCAAATCATACAGAAGTTCGATACGTTGGTTCTTTTTCTTTAAATTAATATGCCAATTGTTAATTCCACTTGAGGAGTCTCATGTCCTTCCAGTATTCATGATTTTAACAAGTAAAAATGTTTTTTCTTTCAAATATTTAAGTAACTTTGGCTGACAGAAATGCACATAAATGATGTTTAATTTTTTATCTCTATTAACTGAAGCTCCTGGTTCATAAAAATGTACCTCTATTTTAAAGTAAAAGGCCACTTTTAAAAGAAGACCTCTTAAGCCCCTTTTAGACTGACATGGACTTTGAGAATTAATTGTCTTGTTGTGTGTGTGCATGTGTGGGGGTGCTTCTTTACTGTATATTCATGCTCAATTTATCTGAATGTTTTGGGTATCTGTATTAGTTTAAAATATTTAGAAAATACTTTGTTGTAGCCATTAAGCAGTCTCTCATAGATAGGAAGTGTAAAGTACTGGTAAGTTAACATAGCCTTCGTATCTTCCTTCTCTATGGAACTTCCAACATAAAAGAAATAACCTTTCTCCTTTCATGCAATTCATATTTTTATAACTGAATATTTTAAAATAAAAAAAGACAAATGAAAAAGTTTGAAATATCCATTAGTATTACAACACGCTACATATCGATCACTTACAGTTGCTAACAGTTTAGAGTCTGATAATTTTCTTTATTATCAATAAGCAGTGAAATATGTCAAGTTTATCACTTGTTTCTAGGTTCCCTTGTATTGCTGGAAGTTGTTTGTGGTAAAATCTACTCAAATCATCCAGCGATCTATATGTTTGTCTCTATCACATTTGGTGATATCTTTCAACTATTATGTCTTTATATGTAAAATATAACTTCTTGCCTGGCACAGAAAACATCATTATAGAAGTGACTGGCAAAATAGCTTAGAGTAATATGATTCTTCTTTAAAACAAACAAACAAACAAACAAACAAGCAATCAAATATTATTACTTTTTATTACACTGTACAATGTATTTTACAGAAGTAAAGATTTCACAGTGAAAAATATCAATAAAAGAAAACAATGATGTTTAAAACGGCTGCTTAAACATACTGCAAACTTATTTCCACAGAAATTAAACCAAACATTAAAAGCAAAACAAAACAAGCCCTGTCTCTGCGCCATACTTAAGCAGAAGTCTCTCTTTCTTTCTCCCTCCTCTATTCCCCCCACCTTATTTCCTCAGATTGCTGTCTTATGACATCATCTTTTTTCTTCTTTCTGATACATTTTTAAATATATTAGTCATAAAATTCTGACTTGTGTCATTACATTTGTTCACATAGCAACTTGATGTCACAAACAGATGTCTGGTACTGTGTACATCATAAGTCTGAGTTTGTTCCAGACACATTTGTTTTGTGGTGGGAGAACCCCAAAATGCTTTGATATGTTGGTTCTTATTCTTAAGAATTTATTAGACTGTTCCCCTCAAATACACTAATAACCAGAAAGGTACTTTAAAAGACTGTTCTGTTCTTAAAGCATGTTTGTATAAAAGTAAAAGGCTACTTTAAAAAGAACACCTCTTAAGTCCCTTTTAAACTGACATGGAAATTAATTCAAGGGTCTG